CACACACACACTCACACACACACTCACACACACACACTCACACACACACACACACACACACACACACACACACACACACACACACACCCACACACACTCACACACACACACACACACACACGAGGGAGAGAGAGAGAGACAGAGATATTAGTAATGCAGAGAATTAGATATTCTACCAGGTTGAGGGAGTAAGATGCGGGCAAGTCCTGGCAAAGAAGAAAGAGCTCACAGTGGAAGTGGACTGGAGGGCCAAGGAGACCATTCTGGAGGAGGTGGAACCGAGACTTACACAAAACCTCTTTTCATACTACCCCCAGCTGCAAATGAAGCAAAGAGGCCAAGAGCCCCATCCTACATCTACCATCTTCTACTGAGATGTACAGAACTGGTGCAAGGGCAGCTCCCCACCCCCACCCCAAGGAGTGCTCTCATCCTCAGATCTGTCTCTACTACTCATCCAGCTGGTGTTCATCAAGCATTCCTCCAGGCCAGGAGCACTTTTAGGCACCAGGAATACAACCCAAGAACAAACACCAAAATTCCTGCCTTCATAGAGCTCACATCACAGGAGAAGAGTCAGATAATAAGCAAATTGTGATATATTATGCAGGATGATGACAAATAGAGAAATATAAGGCAAGGAAGGATACAGGACTGAGGAAGACAGGGCTGGCGAGGAGAGGGAAACTCTTACAGAGAGTGTGAAATATGAGCAAAGACCTGAAGGAACAAAGAGTAGGGTCCGGAGGAAGTCAGAGGACATCGCAAGGGCCAAAGTCCTAAGCTAAGAGCCTGTCTGGCATGTCTGTAGAGCTTTAGGAAGGCCATTATATCCAAAAGAGAATGAGGGAGGGAAGAAAGAGTGAGATGAAATGAGGAACACGAGGAACACGTGAGGAGGCAGCCAGGCGCAGTTCCCATAAAGCCTGACAGCTGATGGAAATGACTCTGGCTTTTGCTCTGTTTAGAAAAGGGACCCCCTCAGAACTTTAATAGGAGCAGTGACACAACTCATTTATAGTATCGCAGGATGACTCTGGTTACCCTGTTGAGAACAGGGCAGAAGCAGGGAGTCAGGAGGTCAGTTAGGTGCATGGCCCAGGGCAGCAGCAGCCCTGGTGAGAAATGGTCAGACCTTGAATGGCAGATACATTCTGAAGACAGAGCCAACAGGATTTAGTGAGAGATCAGAGGTAGGAATGAGAGAAAAGAGAGGAGTCAGGAATGATTCTGAGGTATTCAACCTGGGGATCTGAAAGAACAGAGCTGGAACAAATTAACAGGAGGAAGACTGCAAGAGAGCAACTTTGAAGGAGGAAGCTCAAGATTTCGTGTCTGGTCAGTGTAATCCCAGCACTTTGGGAGGTCGAGGCGAGTGGATTGCCTGAGTCTGTGGGTTCAAGTCCCACCCGGGGAACTTGGTGAGACCTTGTCTCTACAGAAAATCAAAAATTAGCCAGGTGTGGTGGCGCGCACCTGTAGTTCTGGCTACTTGGAAGGCTGAGGCGGAAGGATCGCCAGAGCCCAGTAGGTTGAGGTTGCAGTGGCCAGGAGCGTGCCACCGCACTCCAGCCTGGGCGGCAGAGTGAGACTCTTAACTCAAAAAAATAAAAATAAAAAGATAGATTTTGTGTCTGATGTGTCAGGTTTGAGATACCTATTAGGCATCCAAGTAACATGACAAGTAGTCAGGAGGAGATCTGGGAAGGACCTAGGACTGGAGGCATACATTTGGAAGTCCCACCCCTGGCATGCACAGGGTATTAAAAGCCATGGGACTGGTTGTGATCACCTAGAGAAGGACTATGGAGAGAGAAGAGGTCTGGGGACCACGCCTTGAGGCTCTCCAGCATGGAGTTGGGGTATGGGAAAGAAGTAACAATGAAGACTGAGAAAGAAGAACCAATGAAGCAGGAGGAAAACCAGAACAGGTGAAAACAGGTCAAGTAAGAAAGAGACTGAGCAAGGACCCCTGGATGTATCAGTTCAGGTATCCCTGGAAGAAGGGGGTTTTGGTGGAGAGATGGGGACTTTTTCCTGATTGGGCTGGGTTCAAGAAAGCACAGGAGGAGAAGTGGAGAAAGAAAATGTATGAATCTCTTCTGATGAACTGAATTTGAAAGAGGAGCAGAGGACCGAGGCAAATGAGGGAGAGTCAGAGGCAAATATGGGAATCGAGAAGATGTTTCTAAGATGGGAGAAATAGCAGAATGTTTGTATGCTGAAGGGAAAGATCCAGAAACAAGGGCAATATTGAGGACATGAAGTAGGAAAGGGAGAATGGATGAAAGAGGCAAGAGAGATCCATGTACACACAGAGGGAGTGGCCTTAGACAGGACAAGGACAATCCAGCCTGTGAAAAGGAAAAACAAAGGTAGCACACACAGACGCAGATGTGGGGGTTTGATATGGAGAAAGATATTCATGATGTTCACATTCGTGTTTCATGACATGGGAAAAAAGCTTCCATGCTGAAAGTGAACATGGAGGAGGAGGTGCTGGACATTTCAGGAGAAAAGTAGAGCAAGAGGCCAAACAGATTGTTAGGCAACACAAAAGATCCACCGACATTAGAGGGCATGAATTTAAGGTGAAGCCAGGCATCATGGATGGGCATTTTCCTTCTCTTTCTGCCGGTGCAGTCAATTAATTGCACAGGCATAAACCAGAAAGACAAAGAGTTGAATTTAACCAGGGTTCAATTTGGAGTTTTTCCAGATGGGTGCAATCGTGTAAGAAGGGAAAATTGGTTGAGGATGCATGGGAGAGACAAAGAGATGGAGAGGACAGAGAAAAGGTGTTAGAAACAGTAACATGCATATCCCAGTGGGGTCGACAGATGGGTGGGACTGGAACAATAGAAATAATCCAAAAATAAGTGATCAGCAAGTAGGACATTTAGAGTCGAGGATGTGGGTTATGATTAAGAGTTATTTGCAACGACAAAGTCGAAGTCATGCCTCAGGTAGGAGTGGCAAAGGAGTGAAGGAGCAAGCCATTGGAGAAGACGAGGTCAAAGAAATGAAAGATCGGGGTATAGGAAGGATCTTCCACACGGGATTGAAATCACTAAGAACTAAAACAGACATTAAAGCCAGTGACAGCAAGAGAGAAGCTGTCGTCTTCAAGGACTGATGAGGTTGAGCTAAGACAGTAGGTGACAGGCATTGTAGCGAGTGTGGTAAGATATAGTCTGATAACAAGGGAAGAAGGAGGGAGGGAGGGAGAAGGTCAAGAAGGAGCCAAGAGGAACAAGGAGGCCGCCACCCACCAGGGCCCACAGGTTCCAGTGGAAAGGGAGAGAAACCAGCTGCCCACTCCAGGGGCTGCCAGGAAACAGGGTCCTGGAGAGGGAATCCGGACAAGTAGGGAACAGGAACATTTCAGAAGACTGGAGGCTCTGAGGGGTTTGCTGATGACTTCAAGTCCTAGAGGGTAGAGTGGAGGGATTTTAGGAGTTAGGAAGGAATACAGAAGGTCAAAGAAGGGATGTTTGAGGCATACAGGGATGAGAATTCAGGACTCTCATGAGAAGGGGCTGAAGGACTAAGATGAGATCAGCACCCACTCCCAAGGCGGGCGGAGAGGGGAACCACATCTCTGTCGCAGTGCAAGGATGGAAGGAGAAAGGTGTCTTCTCTTATTCTTGCCACATGCCTGGCATTGTCACCAAAAGAGTTCTCCATTCCCTCAATCCCCTCACATGGCATATCCCAAGTGTGTCTTATATATAGCTACACGGAAAACCACCAGACCATATGCTACATAAAGGCAAGCTTTGTGTCACACGGCAGCATATTCCTTGAACCGCTACATAACAAAGCTTTTTGGGTCATTGATTTCTCAGTGTCAATGGGTTTCCTGTATCTGTACCTATAAATTGGTTTTTATAGTTAAACATTTAGGGGGTCCTACCCAGTGGGAGTCTGGAGGAACTCTAAAAAAAACCTACCTATTTAACCACCTCATTTTCTCCCTACTTTATACACATCATAATTTTAAGTGTAAATCTAGTTTCAAATATGTGTTCCCAAATTGTCCCATTTTCACTAATATTTGTGAAAGAGATTAGTTGTGCTATATAATTCTCAACCTACTATTATTGGTAAGCACAAAAAATTGAGGTAAAATTCTCTTTTTATAAGTCATTTTCTTCAAACTGGTCCTGTGAGATTTCATTTAAAATTGTCAAGAAAGAATCAGGAGACAATTAGTATTAGAGCTAGCTTGAGTATACTGCATTGCCATGAGCTTGCAGTTCAAATAGAAGGGGATTAATATTTTGAAATATCAAGGGTCTAATGTATTTTTAAAATGAAAATTTAGTTATGTATGATTTCCTGAACATTACTGAGTAATGTCTGCAAAACCAGAAAAGTGTGCTGGGGGAGGAAACCCACAAATGAGATTTTCCCTGCACTGTGGCAATTACTCTGCATCCTAGGACAAGCCAGGAAACAAGTCTTGCGTCAATTCTGCATTTTTCTAATTCAATTTTTGTATTTTCCTCCTTTCAGTGCATTATAAACACACAGCAGTAAGACGGCAGGAACACAACATGGTGTGGCTAATGTATCCCCAGAGGAAAGCATCCTCCTTGGGGAGGGCGTGTGGTGCTCTGTGGTCAGCTGTTGTAGCTACAGACATCTCAGTAATGATCTTGACATTGAATTGGAGGCTTCAAGAATACATAAAGTGACACAAAGTAGAATGGTGGTGACAAGAGGCTAAGAAAGGGAGTGAGTAGGGGGAATAGAAAGAGGTTGGTTAATGGGTACAAAAATACGATCAGACAGAAAGTATCAATTCTAGTTCTATAGTACAGCAGGGAAATTATAGTTAGCAATAATTTATCGTATATTTCAAAATGGATCAAATAGAAGAACAGTAATATTTCCAACACGAAGAAAAGATAAATGTTCGAAGTGATGATATCCCAATTACCCAGATTTGATCATTACACATTATATGTATCAAAATATCACATGTACCCCCAAAATATGTACAGCCACTAGATATCAATTTTAAAAAAGAAGAAAGTGACTCTGTATTTTGGGAGGGCCTGACGTCCTGTCTGCATGTGGCTCCTTTTAAGTTCACTTTACTTTACAGTGTGTACCTGGGAATTTACCACCTCCTAAAAGGACTTTTTTGTTTGTTTGTTTTACAAATCTGCAGTATTCATTTTATCCTGATTTTCTGTTTCATACTGTGACATTTCGTAGTATATCCACACTTCTACACTCTGGACCCAGTCTTCTGGTACCTGTCCTACAACTCGCAGTTTCTCAGAGTGTAGCCTCTAGACCAGAAGCTTCACCATTGTCTGGGGATTGTAATGGATACACAATCTTGACCCCCACCTCAGACCTACTGATTCATTCACATGGTACTAGAGTTTAGAAGCTACTGCTATTGTGTATCGTCTTTCCATTGGGAGCCAGAGTGGGCACTAAAAGAAGCTACATTCCCATAAGACCCACTGGGCACGATGAACTATACAGCTTTCAAAGTTTTCAGTAGACACCTACCTGGTGCTGAAAACCTTTGGAAAATCTGATTCTATATTTACTGGGATTCCCCTATTTGCTGGCTGGTAGTCACTAGAATAATGCAACTTTATGACAATGAAAATACAAGAGGACCACAGCAAAGCCTGCTTCACCAATGTTTCCCTCTTCTACTCAATAAGAGGAAACAAAGTGCTTCTCTATTTGCACTAGTCTGAGACTCATAGTGCCTGATTCCTACAAGCCTAGCCCTTGGCTTAAGTATAATTCACTTATGCTTAGAAATCATTCCCAGACTTGATCTCCACCCTCACAGTTACCTTTTAGAGAAGGGTGAGGTGGGAAGCAGAGGGAATCCTTGCTTCGTGGAAACCCAAGCTCGTTTCCCTCCCTGCTGCTCTTCACCATGGGTCCTGCTCTTGGTTTCTGACCTGAAGGAGGCCTCACCCACCCAGGGATTAAAGGGAGGCCACAGCCCCTCCCAGGAGTTCACTTCACCTACCGCACTGGTCTGTATGGTCTCGTTCTCTGGTTTGGCTTTTATATCAACAACTCCATCAGCATGTCGGAAAGAGCAGTCAGCAAGGATATCATAAAATGACAGTTTCTGGGCCTTCAAGCCATACTTCTGCAGCCACTTCTTGGAGTCCCAGGTGTCTTCTGGGTTTGACATACTCTCGACCGAGGTTGTTCCCAACTCTGTTTTTGAAATCACAGCTCATCAGCTATTGATATTGCTCATGCCACTCATATCACACCCCCAACTTAATACTTACCAACTTGGAACATGTTTTTTGTTAGATACATAGGCCATGTTTCATTGCAGAAAACATGCTTTTTAAAACAGGACTGGAAAATAATTAGTTCACAAGACTGGAAAGCAGGATATCGGTTACTTCATCTCACTCCCTGTTCTACCTAAGTTGATTGGCCCCATGCCTGAGTGGAGGAGGACAGTAGACTCAGGCTGGGTGTTAGTAGCTGTGTGTGTAAAGTTGGAGTCAGAAGTTCTGGGTTCAAGTCCTGGCTCCATCACCGGCTAGCTTGAGCAAGTTGCTCAAACACTGGATGAGTCATTTCATTTGGCCTCTCTGAGCTCAGGCAGAATTCCTCATCTGCAGATGGAAAATATTATCTGCTAGGCCTTCCTAGGTGTATTGCAGCAATTCAGTGAGAAAAGTCATGTGAAAGTCCTCCATGTACAGTGTAGCACCTTGGTAGGGTGAAATTGATCACAGTGAGAGTATTTACAGAGTCTGAAAATCTGCACATCCTACCAGGGCTTCTTTAATTCCAGGAAGTGGGCTATTAACACTCACTTGCACACTACTGGAAGGAAGGCAGAAAGGACCCTGAGCTTCAATCCTTATAGGAGCCCTAGGAAGACCAGGATGGGGTGCTAGGTAGGGAGATGCCTATTTTTTTTAACAGCATGTACTGTCATATATGAGATCCATGAGCACTACGGGTTAATTTGTTTCCACTCAGACCAGTGACTCTCAACCCTCCATAATGGAATCCTCTGAAGAGCTTTAAAAAATACTGATGACTGGGTCCCCTTCATTAGATCCCATTTAAATGGGTCTGCGAGTGTGACCTGGATATTGGGATTTGTCAAAGTTCTCTAGGTGATTGTATTGTGCAGCCAAACTTTGCAACTGGCTTCAGGTGGAAAGAGCTTTCTCAATTACAACTAACTTGGATGGATTTAGAGTCTGTAATACTTAGTGATTTATTACAGAAAGAAATATCTGAGTACTACATGTACTTACTCATAAGTGGACCCTGAACATTTATCGTAATACTATAAGAGAGGAATTGGCAAGAGTGGGAAACTTCCAGGAGAAGGAGGGGGGCACATAACATCAATAAGGGTACACAGACTTTACCTGCACGATGATCACTCATGTACCTAACCCTGAATTGTACCCCACATCTTTAAAAATCAACCAGCCAAACAAAACTCCATGAGTTAATGTTTCTACCAGACACAGGTGCAAGTGAAATTATGCTATTAATTTAAAAGTAGCACTCATTAAGGGAAGCAAAAATATAACCCAGACCTACCGATTACTATATTTAAGGGAATTAGATAAAGATTTGAAGAAATAAAACACTTTATAGTCAATTGTTTCTCTATAATATGTAAGGATCTGCCCATTAATGCTTCATGTGATTTATGTCCTTGAATTTTAATAAAATATATTTGAGAAAATTCACTTTGAAACCTACCAGAGTTAGAACTTCTCAAAGAAGCTTGCTCTGGCTTTTGAACTTTAAAATAAACCTGGCATCAAAAGCCCCTTGGACCACCATCCCCAGTTCCAGTAGTTTGTTCCTACATGAATCACAAAGCATCATTTCACTTTTCTCAGAATCAAGCCAGAAGCTTCCCCGAGCTTCTAATCCCTAGGGTTTTCCTAGCACACTCTCCAGCATCACAAGGAAGCAGGAAGGTGCTGGTTTTGACAGGGAGATCAATCAGCCTTCTTGGAGAAACGCTTTGGGTGACTATTTTTCCTCAAGTTATTGTTAATTACATTCCAAGTCTTTGTTTCTTTTTAAAATCTACTCAGGAGGACATTTTCTTTTCTCCCTCCTTTTTAAAAAATCAGTAGATATTGCAGGAAACAAATTTTTCATTCAATTATCTTCAAAGCAACACACCCTTTATTACATTCTTTTGCTCTGTTTTGGGTTGCCTTCTTTGAAAAGAGATGAGAGCCCTTTATCAAGCATAAATTCAAATTTACCATAAAAGAACTTGTACAAACACATTCAAAACAATCCTAGCAAGAGTTTTTAAGGCACCAGAGAAAAACTGTTGACTCCTAGCTTCACCCAGGATCTGGCAGTGTAGCCCTTGAGTTTAGGATGCAGGCTCCCAATTAACATCTGAAAAGGAGGTTCAGGAAGACTCCAAAGAAAACAAGGAACAGTCAAGCAATCAAAAGCAAATAGCCTGGGTGCTCTAATGCTGAAGAAAGGAAAGCAAATGGGGGGAAATCTTTTTCACTATTTACACCAATTACTGATTGAGCCTCATTTTCTCCCAGGAGGGGTAGGGAAAGACATCATCTGTTCATTAGCACCACTTACTAAAGGGTCCTTTCCATTCCCCTGCAGTTATCTTAATTAAAAGTGTTACATGAATTCTCACCTACAGAACCTTCATTTGTTGTAGAGGTGTGAGCTCAAAGCTAATCCTGATTGCAGGGCTTTTCTACTCCACTGGACAGATTGCTAAAGATTTTCTTTCAGTTATGGGCAAAGGAAGCCAATGGCAGAGCACATCCATGCCACAGAATTAACTAGCCCGGTCCTCTCCACCTTACTTATCAATTTCGGGCCGTTTCTCAATGTGTAAGTCCTACTGAACAATGCTTTTGAAAACCATCACTGCTATAGCCAGGACCTCAGGCAAAAAGATAAGTTGAGTATAATTTATCAGTACCCACTCTCTCCCTCTGTCCCTCATCCACCTACCCTCAAGGTTCAGTTCAGAGGCATTCAGTCATCAAGGAGGTATCACTACCGTAACTGTCTTTCCTCATCTTTCTCCACTGAATGTGACTTGTCCAGCACCTCATTCCTGCCATTCCAGAGATCTGTCAAGGATACCTTCAAGGGAACTGTCAGTGAACGATAAATAGAGCTCTAAATCTGGAACCAGCCCCAGAAAACATCCAGTCTGGTGTTTCCAACAGTGGGTTCCACACAAACTGCTTCTACTACGTGTCAGTGGCTGCTACTCAGAAAGAGGGTTCCATGGGCAAAAGTCCAGGGAGCTTAAAAAGAAACAGTTTCAAGGGGTTCTTGATCACAGGACTCTTCTAAGACTTTCTTATGAGAACGAGTAGTGGGGCTCACCACGAGTAATCCATAGTTATTTAGTCCCAGATTCTTCCTGCATGGAACATTTTGGAGGGGTTTGTTTTGGAGGGGTTTGTATTTGATAGATTACAGCTTGGTATACACTGTCCACCACTCTTGTGATCACAGTGAACAACCCTTGGCCATCACATGGGAACTGGTACAGGAAAAGAACACTGTGAACTAGTTAAAAACAAGATGGAAGGGAGGAAGGAAGGAAAAGGGGAGGGAAAGAGCAAAAGAGGGAGGGAAAAGAACTCTGTGAAGTAGCTAAAAAGGAAGGAGGAAGAGGAAGGAAGGAAAGGAGGAAGGAGGGGGAAGAGAAGGGCTACAGAATTGAGGACAGCTAGGAAGGGAGGGAAAAAGACAGCAACTATCAGGAAAAGAACTCTGGGTCCCACCTGCTGGTGAGATGGATGAGGTTTTCAGCCCTGTGAGCCAGCTCAGCAGACAGCAGCTGCAAGGGCTGTGGGTTTTTGAAGGTGAGATGAAGCCCATCCCAATCTGAGACCCAGGGCACAGGTGGTGACAGTGTGGTGCGAGAGAGCAGCCTGTCCCTGGGCAGTTACACCTTTTGTCTTATGTACTTGCTAATCGACATTTTCTGTTCATCTACACTTGCTAAAGCACCACGTGCTGAGTTTATTTGCCACTGCAGGGAAGCCAAGAAAAGGCTTGGCTTTTTGGGGGGGAGAAGGGCTTATTCACTGTGGAGATCTGAGTAAACATTCTTTGGAGTGCCCAGGAGTTACACACATGAGCTGAATGAAGCCCAGTGAGATGCAGTGATGTGTCTGAAGTCACATATCTAATATCTAATATGTGACTGAGTCCAAATGGGCAGTTTTCGAGTCTGCTTTTGTGTAGACTGTCCTATAACTTTGGAAAGGCCTATTGAAGTATGTAATAATTAAGTTCAATGGGAAAGAATCCTGATGGATTCTAGGCTCTTTCTCTTCTAAAATATTGTAAAATGAGGTTTTTTTTCCAAGTTGGAGTCTCACTCCGTCGCCCAGACTGGAGTGCAGTGGCACACTCACGGCCACCCAGCATCGACTTGCTGGGCTCCAGTGATCCTTCCGCCTCAGCCTTCCAAGTAGCCAGAACGACAGGCACACACTACCATGCCTGGCTAAATGTAAAATGAGTTTTACTTCATATTTATATGCTTGTAAAATCAAAGTAAAATTTCTGTTATAAAGAAGGCTCCATGGCTTACCCTTGTTTAGAAACCAGTGGAAAAATGATGCCAATCCGGAATGTTCCTAATTCCAATAATCCTCAGGGGGTGGAGGTGGGAGGGAAAGAAAGAAAACAAAAAACCCAAAGAGTCAGAAAAGAAGCAGACATAAAAATGAAGAACCTCAAACACCAATAGCAGAAACAACACAGAAGAGGAGTTAATGCCTTCTTAAAGACATGGTTTTACATTTCTCGCACCTTCTCTCCTGCCTTATAATTCTAAAAGAAGAAAGCTTTAAAAGAATTACTTTAGATGCAAGCTGTGAATGAGGTAGCTGCAGAAAGAATTTTTTAAACTATAGCACCTGCCAGTGGCTGCTGAGAAATACGGAGTAGTTGATTCAATGACAAATCTGCATGAAGACAAAGAAACCACTACAGGGAACACAGACTGCCAGAGAAGAATTACGAAGACCATATTTTAATGTGTCTACATCTAAATGGACACTTAAAATAAATTGAAAATAGTTGAGGCTTTGTGAGGTAGGAACAAATTGTACCATAAGCAATTACTTCTTTGAAGATAGCTGTGACATCGCAAGATAAACACAGACCAATTCAAAATGTTTGGTACAATATGGAAC